TTGTGGTTGTGGTTGTGGTTGTGGTTGTGGTTGTGGTTGTGGTTGTGTTGTTGTTGTTGTTGTTGTTGTTGTTGTTGTTGTTTGTTTTTGGTTTTTGTGACAGGTTATATTAGGAGGTGACCATTGGTTCATATTTGTTCAGCCGGAAGCCAAGCTGGGCATCCAGACTCGCCAGTTCGTGAGGATGCAACCATAACCACAGCCAGGAAATGAAATGTATATAAACTGTTATTTAAATCATGAGACGTTGAAATCCTCGCGGCACAGTGCATGGGATCAAAAGCAGGCAAACAGCGTGGCAGGCGGAGTGGTCCTCATGTTTGGCGACCCCCGTGTCAAATAATGTATATATATATAATATAGATGTAATTCTTTGCAACTGGTGGCAGCAAATATCCGTTTCATGCGTTCAGAGCCACTGCCAGCTTCGGGATTGTGAGAGATTGTGGGACCCAGTGGGCAATAGTTTGGTCTTTCTTTCTCAATTGATTGGCACAGGGTTAGTTTAGGTGGGACCCAATGATCATCAATGATCTAATTCTTTGACGAGGGAAAGAAACTGAAACATGGGTGCGAGATGCCTTTGTTTTTTGACACCAAGTGGAGAAACGTTTTCAACGGAAAGACCTTGAAACACACCGACTGAAGGGCATCGGCGTGAAGAAGGCACACCTTTTTTGCACCCTCGGATTTTTTTGTCAAGGAGTTCATAACACATGTTGTGATATCAGTGACTATGTCCACGCGGCTCTCATCACAGCCTCCCCACCCTCCGAGCATTTTGAAGCACCAATCAGCCGTTCTGCGACGATCTCTGTTGTGAAGCGTCCCACATCGGCCACTACGGGTTCCACAGGTCCCAGTGCAAGGGGTATCGCCCCAATGTTGTGCAAAATCCAGACACCACATATGGGACTGCCATAGATGCCGATCAGTTGGGGTGGTTGACTGGGGGGCCAATGGATCGGCATAGTGATCGGCATATATGGCAGTTCCATGTGTTGTGTCTGGGATGTCGATGATCTCATGTTCTGAAGCTGATGGACGGGACATACATCGAAAAAACAGGCTCAAAACACGTTCTCGTCCCGTTGGTGAACGATTATCGGGGAATCATCCCGTTCGGCCAGACCGTGCAATTCAATGGCCGAGAAGCCACCGTGCGAACCTTTGACCCGAGCACAGGCGACGGACGCGAAATGCGGACGCGGGTCCACGCGGGCGGTCAATAGTAGTTTCTTGTTCCTTGTAGTAATGCCAGGGGCTACTGGTAGCTTCTTGCTCCTAGTTTGGGGTGGATTTTGCTGTGAAGCTCGACCAAGAGTCTTGACCGAATGTTAGGTGGATAAAGGTCTTATTTCCAGGGCGGCGCGGCGGCGCGGCTCGGGAGTGAGACAGACATGGATTGGGTCATTTGATGTTGTTTGTTTTTCCGTTCAATCGATGTGTTTTCATTCATGTGCGTACCCGGTCCTTCCAAGGAGTGTCCATTTCAATGGAGATCCATATAGTGTGAGGAAGCTGGTGTAAGTATATATAACTATATATCAAGGAGCGGTATGCCGAACTACTACTCGTTTGTGGGCTCAGGCCACCTTTGAATCTGATCTCAAAAAGTGTATGGCTATAATTCCAATGTGTCCATGAAGAGCCATCATTGCTTTATTAATGTTCAACCTTTACTTGGGATGATTGAACCCACTGACCTCAGCAGTTTTCAAGTGATTTGAAACCTTGAAACCACCAAATAGTTTGATATTTGTTTGCAGGTTCTTGGTGTGTGCATATCTGGGCTTTGTTTGGAAGAGGCACCCATACTCACACCTGGCGCCCCAAAGCGGGGGTCAACCAGCTTTGTTATTTTCTCCCAGAAGGCTATACGGTCAGTTTTAAGCGAGTAGAACATCATTGAGCATATTGTTCGTCCTGGAGTGCATTCTTAGTCCCTGAGCCCTTTTGGCTTACTACTAAACCACTCTTAACAGGCAAACCTAAGGATAAGCAAAACATTCTTCTGTTCCTACTTTCCCATACGTTCCACTGATGCAGATTTCCGGACTCATGATCCCTTGTGAATTGCTTTTCTTCACCGGGCTCCGTACGACTGAACGGCGGTGACGCTCCGCAAGTGACTGAAGCGTTGCCGGGCACGTATAAACGCGTGTCAGCTCCGAAACCAGGCAGGTGTCCGTTCCGGTTCCCGTTCAGCTCGGAACCTTCTGAAAAGAACGGCTTGTCGGTTTGCCAATAGAAGTTTGGAAACAGAATCAGGTTCCAGACTCCGAAGTCGCGTGTTTGGAGGACAGACCCTCTCTAGCCTCAGGCCGTTACCACTTGCTCATGGATGGCTCCGCCATTTGCGCCGCTGGGCGAAAGACAGGACTGCTGGGGCCAAGGGTGCTCAACGGGTGCCTCAACGGATGGGGGGTGAGAGTTCTGAACTCTTCATTACGACCGAGGCGTCTCGTGGCGACCGAGGCAGCAAAAGGGGCAATTTTTTTAAATCAAACTTGGAATAGAGTTTCAGTTTCAACGTTTCAACATCAGGGTGAACAAACAACGTCAGGCAACATATGCGAGCGAAAAGCTACAGCTCCCTGTTATATATATATATATATGCAGAGTGGCGACGGGATTTCCGTGCCAAGCCTAAACGTCCGTGCCATGACAATCAGCACCCTTTTTTCACAGCCACCCCCCAAACCTGAGATGAAACGCACAGAAAAATAACGGTTCTAGTCTATTGTTCGCGGCGTTTCCTCAATGAGCAAGTGTTCTTGGGATTCCATGTCCTGGAAACTGTATTCAAAACTGGCCAAGTCTCAAACGGGATTCCGCCAAGTCATAGCCGTTGTAGCCATGGTCGTATGGTCGTATGGCTTCACCCTGCACTGGTCACTTCTTAGGGCACCATTCGATTCGATGCCCAGATGGGGTGCTGTGGCTCGTCCCATCCAGCCGTGGATGTGACGTTCGGGCACCCCAGCCACCTCCATGGATAGCAGCCCTTTTGTGACTCCTGGACTCCTGGAATATATATATATATGTTATATTATATTATATATAACTATATATATATACCTGCAACATCCTGCAACCTCGTGGTTGCTTTTTGTGTGTGGCCGGTAGTTCAACATATATACCTTTATTTAGGTCTGTGAACAACAATAAACATCCGCAACCAAAATAAACATCCGCTTGAAAAACACGTTTGGGCAAAAACGCCTGTGGCCCACCGATAAACGCCCTTAGCTTGTGTACAAATGCCCGTGGAATATCAGAAAAGATCAGAACACTTAGAGAATCGAGAAACATCCGCAGACTCAAATATAAGCTTGTGACTCCATGTTTTTCACGTCGCAGATCGAATAAAACAGCACTCTGAGGAAGTTCCAGGTATGCATATGTCATAACAAAGGTTTCAAACAATTATATGCACACGGGGGTAGGGCGGGTAGGGCAAAAGGGAAGAAAAAGAGAGGGGATCTCCATGGCCACCAACTTGCCATCTTCCCTCCTTCAAACGTTCAAGAAAGCGACTCTGATATCTGTGGCCGCCAGGGTCAATCCTTTCAGAGCTGATGTGCGAACCAGTCAGCCCTCACTGGCACCCGTCAGCGCCTCCAGCGTAGCAGACATCGCTGAACCTGGAGTCGGAGTAGTTTCCACAACAGACTGCTCGCGCTCTTCTGGCGCTCTTCTTTACTTGTTTCTCCCTTCGTTTTTCTTGAAAAGGGAAGAAATCCGTTCCAAGAACCAGGGTGAGGGAAGACAACCTCGCACTGAAGCCAAGGTCAAACCATGGAACTTGACCCAGAAGTGTAGCGCCTTTTGCCGCGACACGATGGGCGAGGGAAGCCCAGACGTGACCATCGTGGGCTTCGACGCAGGCGAGGCGGGTGGGTCAAGACGTGACCGATTCGGGGGATTCGGCATGCGGAAGGGGGAGGGTCTTGAAGGCTTTGTGTGTGTGTGTGGATGGGGAAGCTACATGTGGCACTGCATCGTCTTGAAGAAAGATTAATACTGAACATGCAGGTGCTTCACTTAGATTGAATTTTTAGGGAGTGCATCGTTTCGTCATCAATCCTCCAATGTGTGAATTCCTCTGTTTCAATTTTTCTTACCGAGACCCAGGGAATCTCGTGACTGGTGGCCACTTTGGTAGCCATAGGAGCCATTTACATTGCTGCATTGTGTCATCTGGTTCCCCCGACGCTTCAAACAGCCTTAGGTCCCTCAAAATCTTTAAAAAACATCATCAGAATCTAGGGATTTGAGACCTCAGATCCCTCTAGCGGATTCAGGTCCATGAAGCGTTTGGCCTGGATATTTGTTTTTTCTTGTTTGAAGATGCCCCGGGAGGAGAAGACCCTTGGCATGCCACTTCCAATCGTCAAATCTTCACCATTCGGATCCGGAGCAGCGGATGGCAGCGGGACTCCCTGTGGCTCAGGATGCTATTTGGTGAAGACGCCGAGCGCAGAAGTGGGGCGCTTGAAGCCCCGCGAGCTGGTGCTGAAGGAAGGCACGGCTGTGAGGAGACTTGACATCCATGCTTAGAGGGCCAAACGCGGAGGGAGTGGGAGAGGAGAGAGGGAGAGTGAGTGAGAGAGAGAGAGAGAGAACGATGGCGAGTCAGAGAATGAGAGTGAGCAAGGAAGTGAGGATGCCAATGTCAGAGTGAATAAAGGGGAGGAAGAAGGAGGGTTTCAGTTCAATCAGGGAGGCCACGTTTCATGTCAAAACTTCTGGGGGATGCCGAGTGTACAGTACATTCCTGTGCGGCGCCTGAGGCTCGCTGCAAAGACCCGCGAGCTTCCTTTCCCAACCGCCAAACCAGCAATCAGCGGTTGAAAGACTATGAAAGTCTTTAGATTTATCATAAGTTTCTCATCCATCTAATGATTTGCAGATTTTTGATTTGGCATCCCCCGTCCAGGAGTTCAGAAGAACGTATATAGAATATTATAGAATATAGTACACCGTGTCAAGGGTTGCAAAACATTTGCTCAAAATCGTACGGGGAATGACGGACGCCACTCTAGAGGCCGAACTGGGATGCTGTCTAAGACGCCGTGTTCTGGTGTCGATTTTCACCTTGCCACCCCAGCGTCCCAACATGTCCCAACTAACTACGGCTCGTGTGCCCCAGTTTGCACGAACCCAGGTCGCTCCGGTAGCTCCCTTCCTGTCAGACCAAGGCTTCAAGGGCTCAACACGGCGGACTTCAACGGCAAGATGGCCGCGGGCTTAAAAGCTCAGCCGCAACCCATGCAACAAACTGACTGAATCCCGGTTCTTCCAGCACAATTCCCATGGCTCACACCTACCATCTCGCTTTTTTCACCCCCCCGCGACATCACACATCACACTGCTCTCACTCTTCGCCCATAAAACACCGTCTCCCAACCTCCTGCGCGTCCCCATCCCACGCCTGTCCGGGAACGCGTCCCACAGTCGCTTGGTGCTTCCCGACCGAGGCGGTGATCCGAGAGGTGGACCAGCCCGCCCACCGTTACCGTGTCGAGTGCGCCCACGGTCAGCTCCGACGCTTGCAGCAGCGGTGGGCGGGTGGGCCGTTGGGGCTCGGGCGGCTTGAGCTAGATATTCCATATAATCAAAAAGAGGGCTAATTAATAGAGATCCTAGAGTCAGAACAAATTCATGTATCTTGAATCTATCCCGTTTGCGTTCCTGCGTTGGTCTCAGGAGTGAAGTTCGAGAATGTGCTGTGCTGAGCAGCTCGAAGGACCGGAGAATTCAGCACCCCGAGGTGGTGGGTCAGAGCCCGACGGTTCGACTATCCCAGGCCAGTGTACCCCAGGTTACAGGTCTTAATCCCATCCACCTATTAAAACACACCCCCCCCCCATAAGATAACCTCGGTCTCTTTTAAATAGGGGGTCCCTGAAATCGGGGTTGTCCAAAATAGGGTCACCCGGGAAGAGCTTCGAAACCAAAAAGTCACCCAGGATATTTTTATATAAACTCCTGTTTATTAAAGTCGTATCTCAAAAAACCTCCAGATCGAAGGGTCTTCTTTTTCCCCTACAAAAACCTCTATTAGAATAGTGATTCTTCATTAGACTAACAACCAAATTCAGCTTTCGAAAGGTGATGTCGCTGTGCCATGCGGTTTTGCGCGACCTCGGTGGAAAGTGCGTTTGCGTGAGTCCGTGCCATTGGGGGAAGGAAAGCCTGATGGTGTAAACACGGCGTGTCATGGTGGATAGACAGAGTGGACAGAGGTGGACAGTTGCGGTTGCTTTTGGAACCTAATTAACAAAGCTCCTTCAAAATCGGCCATGTTGGTAGTTTAGTAGCGGCTTTAAAGCGCGGTATTTTATAAACACTATAGACGCATATAATATAAGCCGTATTTAGGAAAATCCGACATGATTTTTTAACTGGCGTCTGCTTTTTATAGGCACTTGGGACTTTAAGGTCACTTAACCTCTCTTATCATCCAAAGCTATTGGGTTGTGGAGGAAAGTGGTTTCTTTCACGGCTCGGGCCTTTATTGGTCCATGGGATCGGTTGCGGGGGGACAGAACCGGGTAACCATGGAAGTGGGAAAGTCCTTTGGTATGAAAATGCTCATTCTTTTGACATGCTATCCAGTTCGATCATTTTCACGTCCCAGGTCCCAAGCCCCAAAAAGATCATCGATTTCAATCAAGCTGGCCATTTGCAAGTTATGGTGTAGGAGTCTATGACCCTAGGAGGATGAACTCCCACATGCACTCATTGGAACTAAGATTTTCATGAACAGCTCGGCGCTGAAACCTCATCAAAGCCCCTTTACGTTGGCCTCCTATGTTGGCTGACATTTTTTCTAATTCGTTTTCAGCGAGCAGGGCCTCAGCCGCTGCCGGCCAGAAAAGCGGGTGGGCCGTTCAAAGGCCCGAGCTAGTGGGACACTGGACATGACCATGCATGTGGATAGTGATGTTGAGGATTCCCTAAGTTATACTCAGTATATCTCAATATGGTATGTTCGTTTCCCCATGTTTCTGTTTTAACTGTAATGTTCTGTTGGCCACCTGGATTGCATTCACATGCTCATTTGAATACCCAGGTCCCCAATAGTATTTTGTGTTGACGGTTGATCAGTCCAAGACGAGACATGATCCTAGCAAGATGGAAAAACATGGTTTGCCCATCGCAGCACTCACAATACTGACTTGGTCAGCCCGGTGACCAGGGCAGTCGGAGAAGCGTGACAGGTGGACCTGAGGTGCCAATTGGCCGCTCACGAGGGACGAAGCTAAGACATGGCCGCCTTTTGGGCCGCGGAAGTCTTCAAAACCGAACCCCCCCGAAGCATAAGGTGGCTACTCCCTCAGAGGTTTTCCGAGGTGCTTGTAAAAAGGAACGAAAACCGAGCCAGTGGGTCCGAAAGCTGTTTTCTCTTCGCCACCAGGTGACGAGACGTTTTGGTATGTTTTGGTAATGTATGACTCTGTATGGCTCTTGATTAGATTTCACCTCAACCCCCATAAGAAGAGGCTTTTCCATCAGGTGGGGGCGGGGGGTTTATTAAGCTGTATTCAGTTAGTGCCCCTCCTCGGAGTTTTTGTTTTCTTGTGCCGAAAGTTTTCTATTTTCGGAGATTGTCTGAAGAGACAACCTATTATTCGTGTACTGTAATTTCTTTGCGAGTCACGGCCACTCGCAACTCGCAACCCAATGATTCTCCACGGTACGCGAGACGTTTGCTTTGGCGGACTCAGACGTTTCGTGTTTGGTTGGTCGTGACGTCGGCACCAGCAGGTTGCTCGCAGGATGTGATTGAGTTCCTGGGGGGCCTGGTGGGAGGGGGGGTGGGCCAAAGGTCCCCTCCGACCTGTCAGAAACCCCTTGAAGTTGGCACACCGACTTGCAGATCTCAGATATTCACTCGATTCATGATTCATGGTCATTTGTGGGAGAGAAAGCTGGTGTTGGAGGCTCTGAAAGATTTGAGGGGTGCCACCGTTCCGCGGAAGTTCCCTCAATAGAATCTATTTGTACTGGCTGCAGACAAGTGGCCAAGTGTTCCAGATGAGACAAGCTAGGGGACCTGGTCCCAAGCTAGCTTCCTCTAGATCTGAAGTCTTTATTCTTCTTTCTTTTGCCCCGTTATTTCGTCTGGCTAGGCCCAGCCTAGTTCGGGCAGCCCTTTAGAGCTCTTTCAAGCAAGTCCACGATCTTATGCGAGACCTGCGAGCCCAAGGTTCGTGGAGGTCGTTTTTTGGAAGGTCAGAGGGAATACAAACAGCTTGGGGCCGTTACGCGCGTGAAAAGCGTGTGGCTGGGAGAAGATTCACTGTTGGCTCAACATATGAGGGCAGTGACCAGTGACCCTGTTTGGACATGATTATGTACTATTATGTATGGGTTTGATGTTTTGTCATGTTTTGTGGTGTTGCAGTCCAACTCTCATTTGTTTCCCTCTGCCACTGCCCTCCCTCCTCTAGTGAAGGCGCCTGCTTCACTAGAAAAATTCAGCTGCATCACGGGTCTGGCAAGGCCGGCACCAAAGACTCTCAAAAACTCCCAAAAACCCAACTCCGCTGTCGATTCAAAAAGGGAGCTCGAGATGGTTCAGCAGCGTTCGAAACGAACCGCTCCGCATGCGGATCTTCGGATGTTTAGTCCTTCCATGGTTCGGTCGTTGAATTGAATGGACCCCCCTGCAGACGAGAAAGAAACCCCTGCAGACGAGAAATCGTTTCTTCAGACAATGATCCTCCACATTTTTATATCATTTTAAGAACCCATTGTTAATCTGCAGGAGGCAGTGCACTCCTTGGAATTATCATGGTTATGTGGATATGGCATGATATGGCATGGACAAGAAAGGATGAAGCATTGTCTTTGATGGCCAAAGATGACCATGAAATCACCAAACCAGCAGGTTTCACTCCAGGTTCATGATGATTCCAAGGACATCACCTGCGGCTGAACGTGTTCGAATGATGGATGCCCACAAACCTGCGAGCAATCAAGGTGTAACGGATCTGGCGCCGGGGACGGCGAGCCTCGGTGCCACCGCCATGCTCTCGCTTCGGTTGGGCCTCACACGAAGCGGGTTCAGAGCACGCTGCGTCAGAACCATTTGGATCCATTTGGCACTTCAAATCCATTTAGACCTCCATATGCCTTTGGCCCGAGGGAATTCGATGGGCTTCATGGGTGCATTTCAGCCTTTTAGAGACTGACTAGTTTCACTATTACTGTAATTATCATACGTGAACATATGTGAACATGTGTGAACATGCATGAACCATTTACTGTGAAGCCTCAGGTGAATTCCGCACCACCTGCTGCTTTGCCTGAAGATTGATGTAAGGTGGGTAAGGTAAATCCTACACTCCTGACTCCGTGGCACGTTCTCGCCGGTTTTGCGGGCGACCTCCGTCTCGCGGGGCGGGGCGCGCGTCTCAGGCCATGGAGCACCTTCCCCGGCCGTGTTGGAGCTGTGGCCGAGCGTCCCGCGCACATGGCTGGAAGAACGTGCCGCCCAAAGAAGAAAAGAACACGCGCGGAAGTGGTGCGGAGCATGGCGGAATTGGGTCGGTGTGGGTTCCAGAGATGCTGAAGAGCAGCGATGTTTGAAAATGCCCGATGTTTGCAACAATATTGACATGACACCAAACCTCACGCAGTGTAAAGAAGCCATGTGCTGTTGTACAAGAGCCTATGAGGCCCTCGAATTGTTTCACCTTAGTTCCCCGTGTCACCGTTGAGCTTCCAAGCCCATATTGCAGGACGTTTCGGCAACCGGTCAGAACATGTCAGAACAGAATGCCCATAAAGCCTCGGTACCAGTTGCTTTGCTTGCGCACACGCGCACACATACTAGTACAATGACCTCTATTTTGGACCACCAACCACCCAAAATATGGCCTTTTCCTATCAAAACAGGGGTCAGTTGGGTTCCAGGTATATATATATATATACCAGCTGGAGTACCAGCTGGTCAGGAGGGGACGGCTCCGGAGCCGGTCTCCACCCTCGGAGCGACCAAGCCAGAAGTTCCCGTGAGAACCCCCGGACGTCGCGTAATGGTGGAAGTCGCTGCGCTCGAAAGAAGAGGGAACAACACCCAGACACGACCAGTCTAGGACTGCCATGTCGGACTGCCTTCAAAACGGCCAAGGGTGGTGCTAGGGGGGTCAATGGATCAGCATATATGGCAGTCCCATGGAGTGTCCGGGACCCGGAGCTTGACCATCGTGAAGTGCGCCGGGCGTTCGCGACCTCATTCCTGCGGTCGGCGCAGGCTGCGGAGGCGGTGGAGGCCGGCGAGTGCGAGCCCTCGGTGGCCTTAGGTGGGCGACCGGCCTGGGCGGTAGCCTCGGTGGTCGAGAAGTCTGGGATGTTGGGGTGAATGGATGAGAAGTGATTGCAACAATGTTGTTTTTCATGCTAACACATAGGGGTTGAAGTTGGGTGTCAAGTTCCTGAAAGGAAACGCAACAAAACCTGGAAGGGACCAGAAAAACCCCCTGAACGGGATTCAACGTTCTCACTTTATTATAATCTTAGAATCTAAGACACACAGTGGACAGGTATGTTCAATTGTTGTCGTTTGGTGAAACTCAACTAATTTATGTCGCTTGATTTAGTTTTAGTAGTTTTTAGTCGTTTTCTGAAAAAGATACTGCCGCTTCATGGGTTTGCGTGCCACACTGGAGTGCACCAAAAAAGTGTACACACAAATTGCACCGATTTGATGCCGTTTTGGGGCCCTTTTGCGCCGTGTCTTGTTTTGCGTTTCTCTTGCGGGAAGTGTCACTGTTGGTAATTTCCCCATTCTATCCAACATCCAAAAAAGAGCTGCACTACAGAAATGTCCGCCACCTGCCCCAAGAACTATGTTAACCAACAGACATACCAAGGAAGATGTAGGTAGGACATTGAGCTATGCTTGATGGACAACATCCTGCGCCACTTTGTGCAGTGCACTGGTGGGCGTGCATAATTTTGTCATATTTCGTCCATCGTTATATATAATATTTTATAACATAATATAATATATAAATAACCATTAGTATGTCCCAGAATCAATGTTCGAATTGACCCTACAACATGACCCCACGCAGTTAGGTTCTCAAGATGTATCTATAGCAGTTTTCATCATGCCGTGATACGGTATCATACCTTTACCTTGTCAACCTGCCATTCCCACGCACCTGATGTTTCCAGATGTTTCCAGGTGTTGCGTTTGAAAGATTTGAACTCTTTTCTTTGGCACTTAAATGGGCAAACAACAAATGAAATGCATTCACTAGCAGGAGTGCAGCAAGCCGGTTTCGAGGTATGGTGGCACTCTTTCATTTCATTCACCTGCGTGGTTCCTACATGTTCCCTCACGGTACCTCACCTCCCACTTGCCGAGTTCCGAAGACTTCAGACGGATCTCGCCAGGTCGTGGTTTGGCGGCTGCCGAGGAGACTGAGGCCCTGGCTTTGCAAAGCCTGCATGCACGGCTTCAGGCGCGAGAGAGAGTTGAGCATGGAAGGCCACTTCAGGGTCAGCATGGATCAGCATAACATAGCTCAAACTAGGATGCTCCAGGCAGACAGGTGTTGATGTAGTGAAAGAATATTACAGTACGTAGTTACCCATATAGACAATAGAACAAAGAGTACTTGCTAAGTATATAAGTTTGTCTTAGAACAGGGGAACCTCCAAGCAGATTCGTTTTCGTTTACTTTTGTTTTGTCCCAGCATGTCAGAAGTTTCTATGCACGTCCCAATGTGAGAGGACCAATGATGCGTTGGACTGACGTAGCTCAATTAATATCAATGACATTCATGAGACTTCATGGAGACAATTCAAGGCGCAAAAAGGTGAGCAGCAGTTGCTCTGGGCCTACCATGATACATCACAATACCATGCCATAGCTTGAGCCCTTCACTTCTCTTTCAAGCCTATTTCACTCCGCGACTGCGTTCGCCAGGCGCGCGACTGCGTTCGCTTCGATGGGGGCGCGCAGGCGCTCGAGCAACGGGTGCGGCGCCTCTGTCGGAGCCCGGAGCGTCCCCCCCGCGTTCAGCCAAAAGAAAACGGTGCGGCACCGGTGAATCGACATGAAGAGAGACCACCCCCGAGATAAACAGGTTTTTGAGACATCTCTAGGGGTCACGTTGGGGTCATTGAGCCAGCAGCAGGACGGTAGGAGCCTTTTGAGAGGTCGTCAAAGACAACAAAGGATGACAAGGGGCCTCATCATTCACTAAAAGAAAAGCGGGCATCAGGCCAAGTGCAAGAGCCATGGCAGATGATTGATTTTGCTGATTCACTGAAGAGGCGGGAGGAACTCCTGGCAACCTATTTTTGGAGGGGTAGTAGGTTGGCAAGCCTAGTCACCAATAGTTTCTATATATACAACATAGCTGGACACTGTCCAATACAATATGGCTCAATTAAAGGTGACTCAGGTGACATTCTACCATCAGTGTAATGAACCGAATTCCTATGTTGAGATTGCCGGTTTAATTACAATTCTGAGATGGCTGGTTTACAAACATCTCACCCAACCAACCAACTTGCAATGAACTGACACCTGAATGCATTGAATCTACTCAATTCCTATCAGATGTTGCTGCCTGTTCTTCGCTCACCGAGGTCCGTGAGACACGAGCCAGGGCGGTGTCAGCAGCCAGGGGCCCACACCACCGGTGAGCCGAAAACCCGAAGAAACGGGATCCGCTTTCATGAGGGATCCGTGCTTTCGAAGGTGTCAACATGTGTCAACACAGTGCAGGAACACACCATGTTTAAGACAGAGGGCCCACAGGAGCTCTCTAGAGCCATGACATGGTACAAAGTCCCCGCTGAAAGTCCCCGCTCATCCTTCCATGTTTTTTTGTTTCTGTGTTTGTTTGTACTTTTGGGAGGCTTCTGTACTTTGGGGAGGCTTCTTCGTGCCAAATTCTACAGCCCCACCAATGCCCGCCCTCTTGAATTATGACCGCCTGATGCGCTGCTTGTGCATGATGAGCATATTGAATACCATTCAATCTTTGACCCATTTGGAAGTTCAAGAAGAGGCATTCATGTACTGCACCATATGGTCGCAACGGTTTCATGCCGTCCCGCCGGGTGCTTAGGTCCGGCCCTGGATAGAACTGCTGTCAGACCGACGGGAGTGTCATCAAGTGCGGCTGCTGGGCGGAAGTCATCGAAGATGAGTCATCGGTAAGTTTTGTGGTCCCAAAATCAGGTTCCAATGTAGAAATATCCAAGCACCCTTGAAGGGGTACCAATAGATTGTCCATCATGAAAGGATTCAAATCTGTTGGCAAGGAGCCTGGACCCACTTGGAACCACTGCATGGAAGTATGACCCTTTACAATACCACTGAGTGCTGTCAGGTTGTCAGTCATTCAGGTTTGTAACGTCACCACAATCTGCTGGGATACATGCATGATCACACATATATAATTCATATTATTTCATTTACAATATATATATATATCCCTCTCATAAGATCATACCATATATATAATATAAGATCATACCATATAAGATCATATTATATATATATGTGTGTGTTATGTGTTTCAATTTACGCTTGCAGATAACTACATTGAGTATATTGTGTGTATATAGAACATATTGGCGCCCGTGTGTGTGTGTGTGTCATACTCTGTCCAAAAGAGTTTTATGAAGAGCAGGGGCGTGTGACACTCCTATCCTATCACACGCAACGAAGCTGTGGATAAGAGTGGGAAGGGAAACGTGGCCAGTTTCCTGTACCTGCGACCTTTTGAACTATTGACCACGCTGTCCACTTCTTTGGTTTGCTTCCATGGTTGTTGTCATGAATAAACCCCAAAACATCCCCCCCCGGCCGCTTTCAGCAGCCGATGAGCCACCGCCACCGCCGCTTTCCGCGAGAGTTTTTTGCGAGCTTGTTGAGAACACTTTGTTCAAGCAGCTTCAAATGCTTGGACGCTCCACCTTTCCGTTGAGCCATTCCTTTCCTCTGGGAATTGAGTTAACTGCAAACCAATTTTCGATTGCGTGTGTGTGTGAACATTTTCCTCAAACCTACCCCGTTTGAGCAGATGACTAGATCACCGCGAGAGTGCGGCCCATTGGCCCTGGCCGCTCCAACAGCTCAGCTCGGGAGTTCCTTCACTTCCGCCCCAAAAGGGCTTGTGGCCTACATTCTTCTTTGAATCGGCCCTGCCGTGTCGCCCAAAACGACCGGAATCGGGCAGTCTCATTCGGACGCACTTTGGTTCGACTCAGCACCTTCGGTTGCCAGGTGGGTCATCCGGTCGTCACACCTGAGGCAAGCAATGGAGGTGCTACTCAAAGAGACGCGGGAAGAGTACAACTCCACCCTCTCCATGTGCGCATCCGATCGGATCGCGCGAATGGATTGATGATTGGAACGGACCCGGCGCTCAAGATATTTGGGAACCAAGACCATACGGCTGTAGGTCACAACCCACCAGGAAAGTTCACCTATGCTCCAGGTGAACAATGACTCAACCCCCATGTGCTCCATAGATGGCCTTAAAAAATGGAGTAGAGGGGATACCCGGACCCGTGGATATCCCTGTACAACCTGGATATCCCAAGGGTACCGGGGTCGGCCGACCCCTCGAACCCTCCTGACCACGAAACCAATTCGCTGTAACGGCACACCAATGGCCGGGCGTATGAAAGCCGTCGGTGGCGGCCACCGAGCTGATTTTTGGGGATGTCTCGTTGGAGCGAACATGAAGCCCCTGAAACCATCGAAGTGGAAGGATCATGCGCCTGAATTCCATGTTCGTTGGCGGGTAAGTTATAGACTCTTGATTCCATCGATTGATATACACTTCCCAGTGCATGGTGGTAAAACCACGTGGTTATACCAATCAACCGTCTACAGTCCAGCTCATGGTGAACGGGGGACTGTTTATTCTTTCGCCGGCGAGGAAGACCGCCAAGGCGGAAGTGGTCCAGGAGCTTCAGGAGCTGCCAGTGAAACGGCTAGTGGCGGTTCGTGACGGAGCCAAGAAAGACGCTTCCGAAACGATGAGAACGATGGAACAAGTAGATGAGATGAGAACACATCCCCAGCAATGATCAATACCCCGGACAGACACTGGGAATGCGTGGGCCACCCAGGCGCCTCTTGGTGCTTTCCAATCCGCAGGACCGGGGCAGCCAGCATGAATGGACAGTGAAACAGCTCCAAGATGCGGTAGAGCTCCTTGAGGATTCGCAACTCTGCGTCTCGCCTCTCCTCGGTGCGTCGTTCTTTCCATCGTCGGTGCCAGGACGGTCTGGACAACGGTGTTGGTCGAAAGGTCGCCGAGAGGCTAGCTATAAGTTCTCCTTATTTCTCCTTGCTGTAGCAATGTAGGCATGGTGGAAGTCTTTTGCCACTTGGTTTGGGGCAGAGGAAGAGCGAACTTTTCGCTTTCAGTCCTGATGAGCAGGGAGTAGAACGGGAACATGATCAAAACGTTTTCTTTTGTGTCCGGGTTCTTTGTAGTCCTTTGCTTAGGGGGCTGGATCCAGCAATTGACAGACCTATCATGTTTTTCAGCTGCCACGCTGAACCCCCCTCAAGGTATTTGACAGGCAGACCGCCATTCCTGTATCTTCAGTTCAGCTGAAATCCGATGAACAAATCTACCGTCTGAATGTTCTTGATTTCATAGTTCTCTGACTTAGAAAATCATAGTTCTTGTCGCTTGTTCAGTTTGATCGGAGTGCTTTCCCGAGTTCCGATGTTCCGGGAGAAAGAAAGCCTCACCCGGATGTCCTTCTGTTGGATGTTTGCTTTCCGAAGCGGCCAGATCTTCGCTTTAGACCCTCGTGGCATTCCAAGCCCAAAAGTTCCACCTCCAAAACTTCCCCACTTCCACGGATTCACACAGGCCTTCCACGGGTCACGGGCGCGCCGTGCTGCTCCGCCGTTCCTTCCGCCATCCACCGCACCCCACGTCGACCCACAGGAGCGACGTCTCGACCGAGACGAACGGTGCACCGAGGTGAGGCGTCGGCCCCGCGGGACCTGGAACTCTTCTTCGCGGATGCCTTGAGCCAGTCCATCCCCGAGGACCCGCGGGGAAACCGCGGAAGCGAAAGCGGGTGCTGCTCCACTCGGCCCCGACCACCGAAACGGAAAAAGAAGCCTTCAAACTCAGTATCCACATGTATTCACGGTGCGTGACTAGAATCAAGATCTGAATGCAAGAAATAAGTCCAAGTCCAAGCCCAAGCCATTTTGGGCCATTAGACTCCGACCTGGGCATCTACCGTCCTCAGGAGCTGCAGCTTCGTGCTGGGCAGAGCCTGGAGGCCTTGGTCCGGTGCGGTCAGGCAGCGCAGCCGGGCTCCCCGGCGACGAAGCGCAAGCGGTACTCGGTGGAGCACCCAGCACATCACACTGACATGGACAAAAATGCACTCATTTGGGTACAGAGAGAGGAATTTGAAGTTACTAATTTATTCTGGAGTATTTTTTGTTTGTGTGTGTGTGGGGGGGTGTTTAGTTTTAATGTGTTTCAATGAGTATATATTTAAATATGATATATGTTTGTTTGTTCTGTTCTTCTCGGGGTCCAGTCGCTCCCGCGCGTCTTCTGCATGTCCTGTCTCCGTGTCTCCTTCGCCGCCCAGGCGCGTCCTCCAGACGATGGACCGGAGGTGTCCAGGTGCGGAGCTCAGCGCGTCAAGGACCTCTCAAGCCTACACAGGCCCGATCACAGGCCCGCATACTGACTCTTGATGAATCGGTTCTTCTTTCACACCATCATGAAGAGATTTGCCGCTAGATTTGCCATATGTTTTTTGCCATCCAATCGGGATTCAGTCTATACATTATATAGATGGATTCAGCAAAGAGTCCTACATAGATGGGTACAGACCATGCATCGACTCGATGACGATCTACTCCGGCTCCGGTGCCGTCAGGTGAGAGTGAGCCTTGCAGCACGCCCTCCGTGGAACGCAGTCCTGAGGAGGGCCGAGTGGTTTTCCAGCGATGGCAGACGCATGTCATATCTTCAAGCCTCAAGTGCCCCACAAGTGCCACAAAAATGAGGCCCACTTGTCAGTGGCGGGATGCATATGGATGGATCATAGGCCGGTGTGCTTCCATAGATCAACACCGACACCAACACTCAGCACCCACGGCAGCCAACTCCCCAGTCCCGTCGGCGGTTGACTCGAACCCCCCCCGCAGGTCAGTGCCCATGATGCACCCCTCCAGGCACGTGGCGGATCGATCGAACGTGGCGGATTGGGGATCCCATGGACCCCCAAGGACGATCCCATGGACCCTGACCGCGAGTTGGTAGAGGATGATGTACTTGATTCTGTAGATGCCCCCAAATAGAGAAGGGCGACAAGCCAGCCTACCTTGCAAAGAGGCAGGTGACAAGGTGGCCCCGCAACAAACTGCACAAGCGAGTTGGTAGAGGAACGCCGTCCGACGACCAGGGTGAACCACCTGGGTCCATGTTTTTTTCTCTTCGGTCGTGTAACAGCATGGAGCTCAGCCAGGTGGCTGATGTGACTTTGAAGCTGGTGCCCTCCGAGGTGGGGCGAGCTCCGTGCCGAACGTCTGACGAGCGTTCTGGAGTCCTTGGAATTATAGAGACGGATAGAGACGGACTGACAGAAAGAAAGAGAGAGAGAGAGAGATTCACCTGGTTTCACACGACACAATTGATGAAGCTTGACAAATCCTTCTAGTGAATTGTCAAGCTTCATGTGTCTTGTGTCGTGTGTTACGCCTGAAAACAAGCGCTTTTCATCGGTGGGCGTTAAAGGTTTGTTGATCAGTTCGGGTTCGGTGCGCCTTCGGACCCCGGACGATGGCTGAGCCGCCTCATTGACTCAGCATCCAGGCGCCCGGGCGCCCGGGCGCCGGTTTGGAGATGCAATAATGTCAACCTCTGATTAATCACTGTACTAGGGGGCCGCCCCCCCCCCCCCCCTGAAAGACCTCAAATAGATAAAAAGACTGTTTTCAACTGTTTAGTATTGGTAGAGATTTTTCCTTTTGTATAAGAATCTATAAAGGAAAGGAATAGAAGAAAGGAATCCATAGGGATACCTAGGGCCAGGGGTGAAAACATTTAGCTTTATTTGGAGGTAATTTATAAATCTGTTCTGGGATTTGCTTAGCTTTATTCAAGGGATATTTATTAATCTGAATCTGAAGTGGACATTAGGTGGCCCCGAGCGCCCTAGCAGTCCAACCGACTGTAGTTGGCCGGTGCCGAAGTAAAGAATACTCCTTGGTGGGTCACCGCGAGAGATCCCTGAAATTCCATCAAGACCTCTTCAAAGACAGTCTTGAGTCTTGGATATAGTACGGTGCACTATTATAGAATAATATCAGACATGACCCCCAAAAATGAGGGTCTTCTGGAACATATCGTATTATTTTCTATATAATTGTGCACCGTACTAAGACATGAGATTTGTTTCTAGGAGTCCAGGCTGCACCTGATTCATCTTCACGGGCGGAGACGGGACTGCTCAACCCGACGGCAAGAACCCCTCCCATCCGCCCCCAAGGGGGACGCCGTGGACAGAGCTTCCCAGTCGGATGAGAGATATGAGAGCGCATCTCCGCTTAAGAAGAAGGCCGATTGGGATGCGGACATGTGTGTGTTTTTGTAATTCCGGTTTCAGCTGGCGGTCATTGGCCAAACCTCTTGAATGGGGGGCATGGAGGGTACGTACTCAGTACCAGTGGTGTCCTTTTGGGAAGAGTAGATGGGTCGGTTTGGTACCATTTACCTATTGGTTGTACACTTGAGGGTATCCTCTCTAGTAGTCCACTAATAGTAAAGGGCCATCTATGCTCAGTACTCCACTCAACAAGAACAGGTGGAAGAAAGGTTCAGTGCGGGGTGCCAGACCATATTTTGAGCCTAAGGCTCTGGAGGCATTTGCCCATTTGTTTTTGGATGGCCGGGATCAACGCATGACCACGTGGTCGTTCGACCCAAAGATGTGCTTGGCATAATTTGTTAATTAGTTTGTGCAGTGACCTTACCGTCGAACTGCAGGTTCGCGGTAAAACCACAACACGTGGTTGGATTGATAGAACAGGTGGAAGAAGGCGGACCTTTTTTCAGTCCAGAGAAGCCGTTCGTGGTCTTCCTTTCCCGAGACAGAGTCTGCCAACCTGGAGGGAAGGCTCATTCGCCAGAGCGAGAGGAAGCCTGGCTGGCTTCTGGCCATCATCGATCGGTTTGTTGGCCTTTGGACGAAGATGGCCCAGATGCCTGGAATCTTAAGGGTCTATATCTACTGCACTGCTTCAATGTTGAAACATACTGGAACATCATCTCGGCCCAAAATCTGGATGCGGCAGTCAGACAAAATTGTTCTCCAACTCCTGCCCGGTCCTACCCAGGAAAAGTGGATTGGCTTTAGATCGTTGAGCCATTTTGAGTTCTTGGGAGATTGGGTTCCCCACTCAAAACCATCTGGACGATTCGGTTCACCTGGTTTGTGACTGGTCGAAACGGCCACCAGGGAGTCAGAGTGGGTGAAGAACCACCAAGGTACCACCGCAGTCTGCGACTCTTGGCGGGCAGGCCACTCCTGGTGAACCAGCTGGCGCTTCTTTCTTGGCCCCTCCCGAGCCAGACTCCGATGTCAGCGGCTTGCCAAAAGCAAAGCGCGAGACGATGGGAATCGAAGACTTGTGGTTTGGAGGGTCGTTCTCGATGGACCTTCTGAGGATGTAGTTCCACATACACCTGGTCAGTTGAGCTCAGCTGCGGCTTTCTGCAACACTTACCAGTGATTCCGGTGGCCCATGTGCAAAGTCAGCTGAAATACATTTTACATTGTACGCGTATGTCAATTTACCTAGCATGGGGTGCCAGTGAAGGGGTGTGTTAAAGCCACTTTTGCATATACACAAATGCATTTACAACCCTGTGTGCCACCGGTTCTGATCAGATGTAGCACCAGTTATATACATGTACATGATATAGTTGTGTATAGATGTATGTTTCACTGCAGCCGTTTGGGATTTGTTTGTGTTCATTTGGATTTACTTGATCGCATTGAAGCGTGAGCTAAAATTCCACTAACCTTTGGGACTGTGACTTAGGGTCACTACGTTTGTGAGCTTAAATTCTCCGTGCAGGTTCGGAACTGAAAAGAACCTAACACATTGCTGTTTTTTACCGACCGTGTATCCGGACCGTGAAGAGTATGACCTGCACTTGATGCATAATTCAATCTTGTGGATGTTTCAACCTTGTGGTTCCTTTCTCCACTTGACCTGTTTGCTGGAACGTTGGGACTTGTTGCCTGACCTGACCATATATATACTGTAACTATTTCTCAAAAGCCCAAACAACAAAACCAGTTGTGACGCCACAGTGGTGAATACCTTAGATCTTCTTCAGAAGATCTCAGGTGTTGTTTACATTTTAAAGGGTATTAAACGGTGTTTTGCTTCATCCTATTGCTGGGGCGCGTGGAATCCCCTTTGGACATTGTGAGGGGCAATACTGAAAAAAACAATACGACGGTTTGGGTCCAGCAGAGCGGATGTGAAGGCACCTAGAACCTGAGTGGGGCCAAAACCATGAACTTGTCCCATCAAAACAAAGGTCAAATGGGTTCGAGAAGAGAACACGAGGATGAAGCCGAAAGAGCGAGAGACATCCAGAGCATTGAGATGGCTCTAGAAAGCCTAATCCTAGAAGACGGAGAAGATGGCCACTGCCATGGAAGGCATGAACTTCCACCACCTGGAAGGTGAGCGCGCCGCTCCTTTGTTTTTTTCGATCTCGGTCGCGCCCGACTTGTGATCGATTAGATCATGAATGTTGGGCTGTTGGCATTTGCATGTTTGCCCATACCAACCAACGACCTGACCATATATATATATA